AAAAATCGAAACAACGATGGATATGCCTGTAAGCATCCGAATAAGATTGTTCGCGCCAGGCGCCCTGTGGGAAAAAAGAGACCCGATTGCGCTAAAGATTCAGAGCTGAAAGCTCTGCTTGCCGCGTGCTACCAAGAAACCATTACGCCCTACCCTTCAAGAATGCTTTGATCGTTCAGGATTGCGGTTCTGGTTTGGCATTGGCAGGCCCGTTTTGAGATTGGCAAGCTCAACCTGATCCTAACTGTGTGGGGTTCAGATTCTCGAGCTTAGGTGTTTGATGGTGGTGGTTGGCTGCTTCGCTTCAGGCGCCTGAGGCCTTGGGTCCAGAGTCTGTAAGATGTCTAGCTTTTGGAATGAGGTGTGGCCTTCGACCATGCCGTGGGCTTGACTGAATTCACTGTCTCTCTGAGAGCTTCCTCCTCCCCAGGCCTACCTTGCAGGGGTACTTCATGCGAAGACTACAGCGAGGCATTTCCACGACAAAATCAATATTGGCATCTGGGCAGACAAACAACAAAAAACCGTGGGTACCCTGGATTCTGAAACCCTAGGGCACCCCCTCTCCCGGTCCATCCGAGCCACTCGGCTGTCTATGTGTGGAGGCACGGACGTACAGGCGGTTGCCTTGCTTCAAGGCGGCTTGGAATTCCCATTCCCAAATTCCCAGTCCAACAACTTGGAAGTGCAGGGAGGATGATTGGAACAAAGCCATCCAAGGCAGCTGAGTTTGAGAAGTCAATGCTTTATCTGGACGGTAGCTCATGCTTGTTCATAAACATTGACGTGCATACGGTTCGGAGTTGGGTTCCTGCGGTTTTCAAAGTGGGCTCAAGCTGATGTTGCTTGGCGGAACATTAATCGCTGGCACTAGTTTCGTGGGCAAGGCAAACGAGATGGCAATTCGAGTTGCTAGCGTCAGGGCGGGATTGGAACATTGAACATGGCCTTCTTTCAGAAAAGCAGGCTGCACAGGGGCCGGCAAACTACTAGGGGCTTTTGGGGTGGCCTCTTGTGTTTGTGGCTTTTCCTGGGTTCTTTAAGATAACCACGAATCGATAAGCCCTAAAAATCTCAAATTCTATGCAATGCAAAAAACAAAAGCTTGAAATCCGAAAATGGATTTTGACTTCAACATGCATTGGAACCCTCTCTTATGGGCAAAAAGGTCCAAGTTCGTGAGAATTGGGGCTTTGGGGGATGTGGAGTATGCCTGTCCTTCAGCTTTAATGCCTTTACGCTTCCGAGCGACTCTTCGCTGCACGCCTTGCTTCGGAATCGCCTTGCGAGCAGCAACTCACAGCAAGTTTATGCCGCCTGCTGCGGACCCCTTTGGACAAGATCTACGCACCTCTGCCTTTCCATCTGTACAGGTCTTCACTGATATGTGTGTATATATAAGAATATACATACATACATATATATATATATGTATGTGTGCGTATATATCTGTACACAGTCATCTTCCCCACATTTTCGAACGTCTTATAATTTGGTAATGTTTGTAGATTGGTGGTGCGGATGGCGTCTACTCATAATACAGCTGCATAGATCGCTGCACCTGTCAGGGTTCTCCTGCAACAGCGACCACACTGAGGCCATGACACGCTGTGGCTGCAAGGGAACCCAGGGAACTTGGTCGTCGTCCTGCAGAACAGAGCTGACATGAATGTATCACGGCAACGCATTATGAGACAATTGGGCCTCACCCACGTTCTCCTTTTCGGGGAGACTCAGTACATCTATAACACGGCAGTGTATATGGCCTACGTTTGCCGTGAAGCCTCTCCTGAGTTTCATTGGGATCTGGGATCGCTCGTGATATATCTTTATCGGCAGCTAGGCGAGGAGCATAGCCCCGGGTGAGCGCGATGTAGCGGGGTATTGGGAACACCTCCTTCCTGCTTTTTTCTGGACTGCAACCTCAGCCTACATTCAAAGCTGGCAGGACCAGTTTTATCAGGATGAGCTGAGCTTTAGCGAGGCTCGTACATCCTGGGAGCAGACAGTACAGCGAGCTCGTGTGGCTTTGCAAAGGACCAGCTGAGGAGATGTCCTGAAAGAGGCGCTCGGGAATGGTGGAGTTGCTCCCCAGCTCACTAGGTGGAGTTGCTCCCCTACACATTTCATTAGCAGATAACACAGGCATCTCAACTCTTCTGTTGCTTTCGAGCAGGTCGAGCTGACTTTTCTAACTCCACAAAGCAGCCCATCAGCGCAGAACCGAAAAAGGTCGAAGCATTGCGTCGGAAGCTTGCAATGACTTGCATGCTACCTGCTGCACTCAACACGCTTCCCAGGTTTCGAGATTGCAGCAGGCAGGGCAAACAAAACAGATCGTCGTAGTTGCCATCCTGATAAAGGAACAGCCGCGTCAAACATCTTATGGTCGAAAAGTTGCAAATCCATGCAGCTCTCTCCTCAGACCATGAGTGAACTGCTTCAAGCTGCAAGGATAAGTCGCACCTCAGCCCATACAGCTCAGATTGCACCTATCCTAACCGAAGCCAGCCACGATCCGTGCCTTTGTTTCCCGCGTGGCTCATGACTCTTTTTTCCCAATCAGTCCTCATGAATGTGAAAGCAGGGGATGCCGATCAAGGCACCGGATCGGGCGGGGACGCCGAGGACATGAATCGACACCACAGTCAACTTCGTGGTGGGGATGAACAATGTAGCATGCTGAGGGCAATGGTGAGAAGTGCAATACTGGATGGGGACAGAGTGCAGACAGATCAACAATGGGTAGCTGAGCTTAACGTGCCAAGGGGTCCACCAAGACCTATTCCAGAGTGCACCCCTGCAGCACGGAGACAGAAACATCTCCGTCAAGCTCTTCAAAAAATCCCAGCAGGCAAGCAGCTCAAGGTAAATCTTCTTGCCTCGTCAACACGGAAGGTCGCACTCCGACAAGGACCAGCACAACACGCAGTCGCACACCACCCGGGAAAACCACCTCGGAGAGTTCAAACTTCGGAGATGCCACGAACTACCGTCGAATCAGCAAAAGGGGAATTGGCAAGAGCACTGCGCGCCAGAGGTGAGAAAATGCCACCGGCCCACAAGCTAGCTGCCATTGACATGGCACTAAGCATGAGAAGTACACTCGAAGCTGAAGGCTTCACCTCTCAAGCAGTCACAGATGGAGCCGCGGAAGTTCTCGCCGGCCTTTTGAGACAGTAGACCTGGGAAGATAGAGCAAATTTAGACCTTCAAGAAGGAGGCGAGGAAGAGTCAGATCCGTCAGCCTCACATGATGAGCATGAATCATGATGATCTTGTAATCAAGGCCAATTTCGCTCTCCTATAGTCCGACAAAAGAAACTGCAGCTCTTAAGCGACACCGTGCTCCCAGGAGAGAGGCCATTAACACTCCAAATTTCTCCAGATGCTTGCTGGATGTCAATTCCCAGCAGTTTTTGCTCAAAGATAGCATGCTATGAAGCGTCAAAAGCCTCCCTCAAGGGATAGCCACGCTTGGAGTGTCTCAAACAAGCAAGAAGATGCATGACAACCAAGGTCCTCGGGATACGAAGGCTGCAAAAGCATGACACAAAGCTTAATGCTGTGATAGACGAGTACCAAGCGTGAAGGAGTTGCTTCCGCAGAACGCCTTCACTAGACAAATCAGGACATCAGATGCAGTTGCTCCTGCCACGTCCACATCAGACAGGTTGAGTCTTGACAGACATCCGATGGATCTGCATGTGAGGCATCCTATCTAGCTGCTCTGCAGCTGGGTAGCATTCCTCTCAAGCAGTACGAAAAATCTCTGCCAAAGTAGACGTACTACCGAGATTTGTTGTTGTTGTTGTTGTTGCTCTTGTTGCTCTTGTTGCTCTTGTTGCTGTTGTCGCTGTTGCTCTCGCTCTCTTACTGTCGCTGTTGTTGTTGCTGCTGTTGTTCTTGTTGTTGCTGTTGCTGTTGTGGATGCTGTTCTCGTTGTTCTTGTTGTTATTGCTGTTAGTTTTGTTATTATCAAAAGTAATAGTGTTACTATTTTTCTTCTTGTTGTTGTTGCTGCTGCTGTTGATGTTGTTGCTGTTGTTGCTG